CCGCTGAAAACGGTTGCACTATCACTCCTCTTTCTGTCCTGGCCTATCTATCTACTTGTTACCCTCTTATCACGCTGCCCTATCACAACTTCTCATTTGTTTACATTCCACTCGTCAAAATGTGTGCAGTTTGTGGCAAATCTAGTGTGGCCTCAACACACTTGCTATTCATCCCGACCCCCTCTCTTTCGATTGGCTGATCCGACTGCGACCATACCAGAGACCACAACATCTTGTGCTTCATATATCCATATTGTTGTACAAAAAGCAAATACAAGTGAATGCATCTCGCATATAAATCGAATTATCCTGTTTTGCTCTTTGTTATACAAATTATGTTCTTCGTTAATCCCCTCTTAACTACCAAACCGATTAAGCCCAACACGAGCAATCAATATGGTAAACCTGTTTACTCTCAAGAATATAATTTTTGAACCATATTCAGTATGTATAGGAAAAAGCATATATCATGCTTTGAAATGCAAACGATCAAAACGTTTGCTAATAAAAAAGCGTTAGCAAAAGTAGACAATCGCTTTATTCTAACGGATAGAGCTTACCCTGTTCTAAGTGCCAAAGGCCGGATTCTGGCTATCTGATGCAGGAGTCTGCCGCTAGAAACTGGTTTGGGCTCATCTAGAAGAATGCGATCTATGTAGCGACGCTTCGAGCGAGTCTGAGTAGTTACCCATGATGGATCGTCCTGTTTCCGGCCGCGCGGACAGTCGAATTCACTCTCATTCTCATTGCTGCTTTCTGTGTCAACTTCGTGTATATCGTCGCCACTGTGATCGCTTCTATCGTATCCTGGAGAATCACTTGATTCTTTATTTCTCCTCTTCTCATTATTCATATTTTGCGTTGTTTCCTCAAAGTTTCTTTTTCCTCTTGAGACTAAATCTCGGTTTGTTGAAGTTTCTGATTCGATTTCTTGCTCATTAACACTTAGGCTGGAAAAAAACTCGTTAGATTTGGCAGCAGAATCGTTTGTCAGCAATACAGAGCTCGATGTAGGGAAAATGGCGGCCAGTGTACGATGCCTTTCTGCACAACTCTGGAGACGGCGCGACGAGACATGTAGTGCGAATTTGGACATAGATGCTGTGGGATTGAGAGGAAGGGACTTTCTGCTTGATAAGGCAACATCAGAAGTATTATTTGATGTGACAAGTGAGGTAGGAAGTGGTTTGGGTTTAGCTTGCGGCAGGCGTGGATCTGACGCATGGAGCCGTTTGTAGCCTAGTGTGAGATAATCTCTTGGAATTCGAATATCTTGTGGCAACTCATTCCTAAAATAATTTTAAAAAAACAGCTGCAAAATATTCAGATTGATTAGGCTTCGAAACTATCATATCATTGGGGGAAATTTGAACGGAATTATTATCTTATATGACCTTGGCAAATACAGCTCTCATTTATAGCTATTAAGTGTTTAGGAATATGCACCCTAACTGATGATTGCTAAGATTTTTTTTACTATAAAGCAATTGGCATTCTGAAGCTCCTCTTGCGATAAAAAGACTTCATGGCTTCATTATCTTTCTAGTAGGTTGTCTTGCAGTCAAGTAGCCTAGTGTATCTGTTTTATTTAGAGGTACAATCGCCCCAGAGCGATTGCCTTTAATATCTCAGGGTAAATAAACTTATACAGTATAAAATACAAGACAAGTAAATGTGCACGTATTATTAATATCAAATGGCAGGCCACTAAGT